AAGGCATATGGTAGACTAGTTAAGCATAGAGATTTGGGATCAGACTGCCTAAGGTCAAAATCCTGGCTTTGCAAGTTAGTAGATATGGGAACCTAGATAACCTCTGTATGTCTCCATTTTTTTTTTTTTTAACCTGCAATATTTTTTTTTTACCTGCAAAATGGAGAAATAGCAGTAATCTGCTCAAAGAGTTGTTCTAAGAATCGAATAAGATCATCTAAGCACTTGCACAGTGCCCAGGACATAGTAAGCTTTTACAACAGTTACCTGCTGTTATTATTATTATTGTTAGACCTTTTAGTCCGGGTGCAGTGGCTCAAGCCTATAATCCCAGCACTTTGGGAGGCTGAGGTGAGAGATTTGCCTGCACCCCATGGGTTTGAGACCAGCCTGGGTAACTTGGTGAGACCTCATCTCTACAATAAAAAAAAAAAAAAAAAAATTAGCTGGGTTTGGTGGTGCATGCCTATAGTTCCAGCTACTTGGAAGGCTGAGGTGGAAGGATCACCTGAGCCCAGCAGGTCGAGGCTGTGGTGGCTGTGAGTGTGCCTCTGCACTCCAGTCTGGGAGATAGAGTGAGACTCCGATTAAAAAAAAAAAAAAAGAATTGAATAAGATCATCTAAGCACTTGCACAGTGCCCAGGATATAGTAAGCTTTTATAACAGTTGCCTACTGTTATTATTACTATTAGGCTTCTTTGTATTCATAAACATAGGTTCATCACATACCATAGAAGTACAACTTGATCGAACATGCTTGTGTGAGCAGCAATTGAAGGTTTGATTTGCTAAGAATTAAGTTGAGAATATTAGGAGGATGTAAAACACATCTGAAGCAATTACTTATGAATATTGAATTCCCTAATTTACTTTTGATAACCTTTTGTAGATGCAGAAGTTAAGGATACATTTTCAGCAAAAATAAGAGCACAACCACTCTCTGTTGTCCAATTAGGGCAGATCCATACACCTTGACATTCAACTAGGCAGAAGAGAAGGTTGACACTCTTTTCTAGTTAAAGAATCCATCAGGAGATATGTCTTAATTATACTAGGCCATCCCAGCTCCCCAGGGATGTGGGTTGAGCTAATATTTTTTTTTCAGAATTCAATTACTGGTATCTTCCTATACATAGTCAAGTGGACAGCCTCTGGCTTGAGTAATTTTACCCAGGAAAAAATTTCAACAGCTGGTATTTGTATTCAGTGAACATTAACAAAATCTTAACAAAGTATTCTTAGGATGTTTAAATTTAAGCAATTTAGCTTGCTCACAGATATGTTAATGTAATCTTGTTGGAAAATGTATTCCTAGGTAACTAGTGAATTGTTATATTATATAGAATTGTTAATTCAATTAGCTGTTAGGTGACATATGCCGAAGAGGATGATTCAGGTTTGAGCATCTTGGTTCTAAGCAACTCTTTTTTTGTAGTGAGCAGAGAGTAAGTTCAATTGCCCACTCAGGCTACTTCTAGCTGATGCTAATAAAGTCATGCCATCAGCACTGGTTTTCCCTTAGAGCAAGGATCATGCATCCATTTTGTCTAGAAGCAGAATCAGGCCTCCAGGCATAAGTTAAAAAAGACACAAGGCTAAATGGTGTATAAAACCCATAATAAAAACTAAGTGAAATAAGAGCTGTAGCCCAGGGCCCGAATAGGTACAGATGTGCATATACAGGCCAAATAAGAGGAGATGGACCAATAGTGCAGATCAGAGATGCTGGAGGCTGCTACCTGATAGGACATTTTTCTTTGGGAACTGAAAATAGCCAAGCTGGCAGAAGGGTCAGGGATGGGCCTGACCCTAATATGGGCACTTTAACGTGGAAGACAGCGTGGCGATGGGCAGATCAGAAATCTCCCTGTGCCAGGCAGAACTAGTGGATCATTGGCCAGGCAACAAACCTTGCATGCTATCCAGTAAGAAGTGGTCATGAAGAAGACATGAGTAAGACCTGGCTGCATGTAGGACCAGATGAGAGGGTGAGAAACCACTTCTGTGCTGAGACCTGGTCTATCCAGGACCTGGAGGAGAGATTCAGGCTGCCTCAAATGTGGGGCTGGGGTCTGATAGAAATGAATTTGGAGTCCCAGTTGACAAAGTAAGTAAAATGCTAAATCTGTGACTTTTTCCCCCATGTTTTCACTATCCCCAAGTTTGATGTGTCCAAGTAAGGCAAAAATTGATGAAAAAAGCAAATGACTCCAGATCATGAAGAAACATCACCCAAATTAAGTTTCCAAAGTATAGATTTTTGACATCTAGACTCCTGAGGAAAAGAGAAGGAGCACTGCTTTGACTTCTAAATAGCGTTATTCCTTATACCCTGCACTGATACCCCTCATGGAGTTCACTGCCCTTTAGTTTAGGTAGGTTGGTGTAACTTCCCTTCAGTTCTCTGCCTCTATATCATGTATGCACTTTTCCACTTCTCTCGTTCTGGAAAGTGGGTTAAGTGGGCTTGTCAGTCTTCTCTTTGAGAAAATGCAGACTCCTGGTTCAAATTTCCTGGATCACCTGGCCCGGTGATAAATTGCGGTCTGCTGATTTCAGGAATCATTGTCATCTGGGGTGTTTATTCTGAGTATAGAGTCATTGACCCCAGCAGGATCTCTGGAACTCTTTTGCGCAATGTACTTTTAGAGCTAGTGTTTTCCTATG